CGGTATTAGCCTGTGTGTCCATCTACCGTTCTCTGCTGCATCCCACTCCTGCTGCCACTTAGCCATCGACTCCGTTCTCACCATTTTTCGTACTCCTCTGGTTTCTCTCGTCATATAGCACTCGTAGTCCTCCGCCAAGGTGATGCCGATTGGGATCATACCGGCGATAACGCATACTGCCTCCATCGAAATGGTTCTGTACGCACTCACGACTCGCATGGCCATGAGCCGGAACGTAGTGCTCAATTTCCTTTGGTTCTGCTTCGTTTTCAGCGCTTCAATCCAGGCTGGACCTCCGTACCTTAGTATTGATGAGGAAACACTAGCCAGAAGACGTCTCTTGCTGCTGCTTGGACCAGAATTGTTCGGCATGATTCTGGCTATTGCGTTGATGACCTTCGTCGCCTTCTCGCAAGCATATTCGATGTGGCTATTAAAGTTTAGCCGGTCGTCGATCATCACTCCCAGATACTTAAGCATGCGCTTCGAAGCAATGGTGTGCTCTCTAACGGTAATCTCTGCCCGCTGCACTGCTTTGCAGTTACTGACCAACATCACTTCTGTTTTGTGGTGGGCTATCTGCAGCTTCGCTCCTTGCATCCAGTTACCAATCGTATCTATCGCCTCAGCCGCCAACATTTCCACTTCTTCCAGCGTCTCACCGGTTACCGTCAAGACGACATCGTCCGCAAAGCCAACGATCTCAACTCCTTTGGGCAGCTTGAGCGTCAGCACGCTATTGTACATTCCGTTCCACAGCGTAGGACCTAGAATGGAGCCTTGGGGAACCCCCGCCGTGATTCTAAGCGATTTCTGCCCCGTGTCTGTCACGTAGACAAGGACCCGGTTCTGGAAATAACTACTTAGTGTGTGTGTGTGTGTGTGTGTGTGTGTGTGTATGTGTGTGTGTGTGTGTGTGTGTGTGTGTGTGTGTGTGTGTGTGTGTGTGTGTGTGTGTGTGTGTGTGTGTGTGTGTGTGTGTGTGTGTGTGTGTGTGTGTGTGTGTGCATGTGTGTGTGTGTGTGTGTGTGTGTGTGTGTGTGTGTGTGTGTGTGTGTGTGTGTGTGTGTGTGTGTGTGTGTGTGTGTGTGTGTGTGTGTGTGTGTGTGTGTGTGTGTGTGTGTGTGTGTGTGTGTGTGTGTGTGTGTGTGTGTGTGTGTGTGTGTGTGTGTATATTATAATCGCTCTACCATAAAACGATCCCTGCGTGTGCGTGCAACCTTTCCCCACATCCAACATCCCAGTGATTTCTCGTGGAAGCGCAGAGGATTTCTCGGTTTCCTTCACAGCGAGTACCACGTCAACACACATTCCTTCCCATTTCCTAGTTGACCTGCATTCGGACACGGCCGGCGCTGGTATTGCTAAATATTAGATCTCCAGTTCTTACACATTGAGGATGAATGTTAGTCCCAAACATCATCTGTTGGTTCTCTGTGTAATTGCAGCTGATCTGGTAATAACAGAGCAGCAACCGTGGGCGGTCTCTGATTTTTTTTTAATAGAATAATATTAGCTGCATTTGTTTGAATAAAATATATTCATTTTCATTTTCAAGGGGGCCAAGTCTCCAGTAAAACATCACTGTCCATACAGCACAAGGGTAGAAGTAAAGATTTGGCACCACAGAATAATAATCACAGGGATCAATTGAATCCTGCTTAAGATGCCGGATAGGGAGGAATAGTGTAGCAAGTAGGGGATAGTCGCAGTAACAGTAGTATTAGTAAAAGTTGGAAAGTAAACGTACAGAGGACCATGTTTTGCAATACCTGTAAATCTTGTTTTATGATTTCATAATTTTTAAACCCTTATATCCCAAAATTTAGGAAAATTGCTTATAAGATCAAACAGCATCATAATAACTCGGAGCGGTTCAATTAAATATCCTACTACACAAAAATAAGATTTAATACCATTAGATTGGTCTCACCCGATATTCTTGCAATACTTGACGTTTTGAATGAAACATTGCCATTTCCAGACTTCGTGTTGTTAGTTTACTTGAAGGTCTTGTGCTTAATTCTTGATTTGTCTTGAAGTGACTCTATAAATAGATTATAAAAACCAAAACAACGCTTCCCCCCCACAAGCTGTAGACCGAGTGCAGAATCTTTGTGATGATACTTTACAAACGTGCATACCCATAGAAATAAATTCAATTCAATAAAGGATTCGATAAAAAAAACATGATTTCTACTGTGACTAAATCCAGCATTCCTACTAAAATATCAAATTGTACTGTACTTAATCATTTATTACTAGTACAGAGCAATAAACAATGTACGGTAATGATTAATCTGTTAATATGTTTTTATAAGCGGGTTCAAATGCACTTTTGGTAAGCATCAACACTGATCTGGCAACACTAGTGTGCATCTTTCCAATGTGGTAAAGATCCAGATTAGCCCTGGGACCTGGCAGCCTAATTAAACTACCTCAAGGTTTTGCCAATGCCCAGGGGTTTAAATAAATACAATAAATATAAATTAAATATATTGAATATATATTGAATCAAACAAATTCAAATATCTCAAATATCCTCTAAGATATTTGGAGGAATTAAAGTCTACTTGATGTACATTTTGAATAATTGATGACATTTTGCGTTCACTTGCGCATTTTTTAGAAAATTCATTCAGAAAATCATCTTTTTTTTTTTTAATTTCATGTGATATATATTTTTCAGTACTCTAAAAATATTAACATTGATCTGGACAAGATTTGGTTGATCAGCACCAATCGAGGAAAAATTATGAAAGTATTCTTTTAAACGATTTTTCAAAATATAATACTGAAAACGTGAAATTCAGGCAAATTTTATAAATCTTCGTATAGCTCAGTTGTTTTAAGATGTACTTCGGCAACTTTTCATTAAAGTCTACATTCTACAACTTTGCCGAAGACAGCAAACCTCTAGCTAGCAAAATAAAATCGTTTGTATCGCTGTGTCATCTTTGCGGCCAAAACTGGAACTATTTTTATCCACCAAATTGTAATAAAAATTAATCCAAGAAACTTCAATGAAGACGTCAACTCAATTGGATGCAATCCCAGAGAACGCTCTTATTTTTTCCTGAGCATGAGCATGATTGACCGCCCACGGTTGTTTCTCTGTTATTGCCAGATCAACTGTAATTACATATAGAACCAATAGACTATGCTTGGGACTAGAATTCATCATCAATGTGTAAAAACTGGTGATCTCAAACTAGGCAATACCAGCGCCGGCCGCGAAAGGATTGGGAAGGAATGTGTTGAAGAGATATTCCGCGTTAATGGAAGCCGAGGAGTCCTATGCACTTCCACGAGTAATCACTGTGATGTTGGGTAAGAGGGTTGGGTTTGCAGCAGGATTCGTTTCGGTAAACGATAAGCTGAATTGATATCCTAACGATCATATAACGCGAAGAAGCTTAGGATTGAACCCACGGTCTTTTGCTCAGTAAGCAAAAACGTTTGCCACTAGGCAAACGAGCTCCTTTTTAATCACCGAGTTGCTGATATTACCATGTGGTCATATTAACAAATAAAACGATTGAAGGATTTTGATTGTGGATGGGCCTGAGATTAGACTTATGTTCTGCTCAGTAAGCAAAAACGGTCGCTCTAAGTCCACTGAGCCAGTCATATCACATCATACCGTTACTCGAGTTGTTGTAACCATTTTTAATCCGGCACCGACGACGACGACAAGTTTCACAAAATCTCTTTAATATGAAAGGATCTGGGACCGCGTTTTTCAGCTCAGTAAACAAGCCACTGCAACTGACGATCTTTCAAATCCGAAAACTAAACGCCTCGCTAAAAGCTACAAAAAAGTACTTAGGCCTTCATTAAGTTCCACTTTCACGCGACGTTCAATGTATCAATTTGCTCTTAACGCATTGTTCAGGCTATCATAACAAGCTATGACCGACGTGTCGATTGTTTAAGCCCTTGTTAAGCAAGCTATTCAAATGAAATTACGTTCTCGATAGCAGTCAATAATGTATCCCAAACTGCGTGCGCCCTATTTTTCTAAACATTCCGAAGCATTCCGCTCAAGATCAACCAGTTACGACAGAAGCACACCATTCGAACCACGATCCAAAGCCCACCATGATCGAAACATTCAATCTATTCGAAAACGAAGCAATACATAAGATTATTTGAAATCTTACGTATTGCTTAACGGCAATCAGTGATGGAAAAGTTCGCGAAAACTCACTATGACTCGCGAACTTTTCCCATGGTGAACTTCGTGAAATATCGCGAACTTTTCCAACACTGACGGCAATATACATAGGTATTTTTGGTTATTTATTTTATTACAATGAAAAAATGTCACAATTGAAAAGTACACTTTTTGTTATTTCTCTCAATGTGTGATAATGTGATTTAGATTGTTTCTTGCTTCGTCTATATAAGAGTGAATTGCAGCAAAACCTGCTAGTCTCACACCTGACGTCAGTACCAGAAAAATAGAGCAGAATATGTGATACTTTCTGGTCAAATTCATGGTCTAGATGTAGGCATACACTGCCGCTCATGGCAAGTCCGTCCCATAGCACAAATCAGCAAGCCGAGCTAAACACGTTTGCATCGTACCATTGCTTCTTGTGATAACAACTCTATAGAACAAATTTGTTGAGTTCATGCAGTATTATGAAAATATGAGTTGATAACTACAATTTGCATTTCAGTACAGCATGATATTAAGCCCTTCCACATTCGGCAAGGGTTCAACAGTGACCAACGAGAGGGTTAAATCCATAGGACAACAATAGAGCCATTCCCCCTCCACTGTGCAAAATAAAAATGCTATTTTGAGTAGAATTTTTTAAACATCATTTCCGGAATTTCTAATGTTCATATTATTTTTTAGGACCTTCAAGAAGATTCATCAGAGAAATAAAGTGCAAATCGATCATTTCCTTGGGCACCATACCTTCCCCCAACAGACTAATCCGGCTGTCATCACCTAGGAGAAAAAAAAATGCTTCAACTAACTGTTCGTAACACTATGCAGCGCCATAATATGTAGTGAATACCTAAACTTATGAGCAGATCTATATAACCATTGAGATCATGTCACCAAATTAACTTTATGCATACTCATTAGTCTCAACTCGTTGTAAGTCTTACGAAAACAAAAAGCTGGCCACAGCACTTACCTGCTCAGCAGTTCCCGAGGCATATGGCCAGTCTCTCCCAGTGTACGCAGCGTTACTCTGCCGTCGTCCATGATCGAGATCCATGTAAGCGAAGCATGGCCAAGTGAAATCCTAAGCCAAGCCTCCGGAGGAAGCTGTAGTGCCCGACAAACGAAGTACCGAATCACATTGGCGTGGCACACAATCAAGGTGTAACTGTCCTGTTTTTGATCCGGTTCAGCACGGTGGAAATACTTTCTGAAAGCGGCTTCAATGCGAGCTCCATCTTCGAAGAACTGCTGCGAAAGGGAAAGTTTATTATTATTATTTCTAGCAATCCGCAGAATCAATGCACTCACCGAAATTTCCGGTCGCCAATGACCGACTGGTGGTTCCGGCGGAATTGGAGCTCCCTCCTCCAGCAGGGCATCGTCGTACAACTTCAGCTCTGGCAGTGAAATTGACATTATTTTTGCCGTCTCCTGAGCACGGGTCATTGTTGAACGGACAATTTTGTCAAAGTTTATGTCCAGCTCCTTGAGGCGCTCTCCACTGATGGCGGCCTGCTTTTGACCTTTTTCAGTCAGATACCGCTCGAGGTCGGATCGACCGTCCATATTATACTGACCGTGCCGAACCAATATCAAGTGCCGCACTACCCTGGACCTCTTCTTGTCCAGCTTTTCATTGTAACGATTTTGCACAGTGGGATCCGACGAGTCAGCCAGCGGTTGGACCAAACTCTTCGGATCGCGGCTAAATTAAAATATTCAAACATAAATTTATTGTGCCGAGCAACGATTTTCAAATACTTACTGATCCCAGTTGAAATCCCACTTAGCACACGACGAGGGCTCAAAACTGGTGGTCCAAGAGTTCAACACTTTCCGTTCATCCAAGGTCTTTTGAGCAAACCAAAAACTAGCAGCTCCGCCAGCGGCAGCTACTGCCACTGATGCCACTTTCTGCATTCGCATCCAAGAACCCATATTGTGTAAGTACGATTGTCAACTATTACTTTAATTATTAACGTGAACTAGCAATATTAAATGCAAATGCTGGAAGTTATGTAGTTACCAAGCCGGCTTTCCTTGGGAGAAAATAATCGACCAATTATTTTGATGATTTTTGACATTTTTTATGCTCGTAGCGTGTTGGTAAAACCATCAAAATTGAATACATCGCCAAACTAATCCCAGGTGACTATCGAAAGCTCGAATAGACTTTCGATCTCTGCACTGTAACTGTTAAGTTCTCATTAATGGGTGGAAAAGTGCCCATGTCGAAGTAAAGTGGTTAAACTCATTAAATGGGTAAAACCTGGTAAAACGTATTTTCTAATTAAGCCTGGTACGCAGCTGAAAAGTAATGACGTTTTTACGTGCTACGGGATAGGACACGGAATGCTAAAGAAATTTCTTTTCCTTAGCATTTCTTGACCCAGTACGCAGTTCAAAAGAAATCGGTAAAGGAAAGATCGATTACATTAGTATCGTGATCGACATGAAGGTGGCGCATTCTGAATGTAATTTCATTTTGCTTGCGGAATAATGGTCTGACCAATTATTCCGTTAGGTAAGTTTAACGTTTGTTGTAAAAATGATGTTTTGGATGCATTATAACAACATAAAAACTGATAATTGTTGATTTTAAAATTAGACGACACCTACCTATGAACTCAAAATTTAGCAAAAGACACCTCCCTATAGCTGTCAAATTTACTTTTGGGAATATTCCTCAAAAATTACTTTTCCGTTTTCTTTTCAGCTGCGTACCAGGCTTTAAAGGGTAAAGAACATGTACGTCAAATCATTTGCCCAGGGGGAACGACACTTCAGGATTATGCCATTTTTACTCAAACCTCTCATAATAATTCCAAAAATGAATGGAGAAAACAACTCAAGAGCAAATTTTCATTACGTCGAAAGTAACAAAGGTAAACAAAGTGGAGTTATCAGTGTCAATCGATGCTCCTGCTATTACACTATATACTGTCCGAAAATAGGATCACATCCCATTTTTAAATTTATTTACGAGTCAACTTGCTTTTTGACGTAATCCCCTTCCGATCAAAATATTTTTCGATACTTAAGTCACCCGATTTCTATGAAGATGCCGTTTGTCTTAAATAATAGCGCAGAGAAACCTGTGAAAAGTGAACGTTCGTCATTTCGCTTTCTCATTATTAAGGTGAATAAATCAAACCTAGGGGTATCCCACTCTAAACTTTGTATTTACTGCGTTGTACACAGAAACTCTGATATCTAAGACACTTAATAATACTTAAAAATACTGTGATTATTTTGAACATTCTCATTTTCTGAAAACTTTTATACTTAGTTCATTTCTCATTTTTTATACCTTATATTCCATAGTACCCGTACACGAAACGAAAATCAATTATTTAATTCATGTGTTTCACTTATACATTTTTGCCAAAGCATCAGCCTTATACATTCCATAAGACAAACCACATATAGGTCCTATTAGAATGCATAAAAGGTATGTGTGACCGCATATACATTTCATTTGACACATGATCTTTATTAACTTTTTGCAAGGCGTCTGCTTATTAGTTGACTTATACATTTTATGAATAATCAGCAATGGAAATTTGCCAAAAGGTATAAGGAGATTTCTATCCGTGTAGGGAATGTTTCGTCAATTATGGCTACGATTTTGGAAACGATTTGAGTGGTTCGATGATTTTTTATCTTGTTTGTTCTTTTAAATATTTCACTAACCGTGATCCAAGTTACTGGAATAAGTCACGGGATCATTCCACCTATTGCTCGTTCAATTTGAATTCGATTGTTGTCTTATTTTCAGTCAGATATTGATCGTGCATCGATAGCCGAAATTATTTATGCTGATCGAAGCTGAGCCATATATTTGAAGGACTTTCACATAATCTACATTCAGACAGCATTTCGTAGTGTCATACCTTCAAGTCGAACATGTTTATCAAGAAGTTGACAAAAACATCCTCGAATTCGGAATTTGCAACGCTCTATTATCATAGAGGTAACTCTAAGACAAGCAGGTCCCAAAAAAACGTGCTCAACTTTTTGGCTCACCTCTGGTACTATCTTCGGTCCCAAGCTTGTCGAATCACCCCTCGAAACATAGGAAAAACCAATAACCCCTCATTTTATCTGTCAAACTTTCATAGCGAATCAAAACAAACATTGCGTAGTACTAGAATTTCGACTAGAATAGGGTACGTTAATCGTTTGCTTGGGACCAATAGGCTACTAAAGTGGTGAGCCAATTTAAAATCGTTGGTTTCGTATTGATTGTTGCTATTATGTTCTATTTTATTTTATTTTATTATGGTATTATATTCCCAACAAACAATTGCCTATTGAAGAAACGACTTCTTGACGATTTTATTCCACTTCATGCTTAATAATACTTGTACTATTTTTAATAATAACTTCTGTTCAGGCTTTATTAAGACAAATCTGGAGAATTTATTCAACCACAACATCGTAATATTTGGTTTTGAGTAAGGTATGTCGAGAAACTTTTATTCGACTTACAAGAGTTGTAACAGAGCTTATTCGACCAAATTTTTGATTTTGATTTTTGATGCATTTATTAGACATCATTACTTCCTTAAACAGCGATGGTATAAAGGTGTATATAGAAGCTTGATTCTCATGGTTCTCATGCGAAATAATGTTTAATTAGACACTATTATACATTTATAAAACAATTATTCAACTACGCGTTAATTAATATGAGAATAAGAACGGGACAGAGCAGGGTTGTTCTCGTTAGTGATTGTTGTGTCATTATTTCTGTCGAAGCACGCACCCTCCACACATAGATCATAGAAAATTTATTACATACATACATACACACATGTCGTTAAATGGAATTCGAACCATGACCTTCCGATCACCAGCCGCTTGCCTTGCCATCTAAGCTATCCTAGAATACATCATATGGGCAGCTAAATAAGTAATAAAAGCTTGATACCAACGTTACCTCTCCATCTCTCTAATTTCGATGGAAATTATGCTATTCTTTTCGATAGATCTATGAATTGGATGTCGTGACTGATACGATCTATGATTCCTATTTAAATTAATCTTTTAAATTTGTTGAACCTCTTAACGGAATCCCTTTATGAAGAGCTTTGAGTGTGTTGGCTAGTGTGTTGGTTTATAACCTTTAAATTCCGTTATAATTGCTTATCTGCCAAGTACTCAGTGGTGTTGAGTACTTAGACCAATGGGATTGAACCCAGGCCTGCTGAGGTGAGAGGTAATCTTACCACTATACCACCGGAGCCGCTACTGATTTTTTTGATGGCATTTCTTTCTTCTTTTTTTTTAATTAAATATCATTAAAAAATATTATTGTATTCGAGCAATCTTTATTTTATCATTGACACAAATAAGAAAATTCCGAAGTTAATAAATAACCATGCGCACCCCAAGGGGTAAGTCACTCAGCACATTATGCCAAAATTAGATTCGGCACTGCTTGGGCACATTCATCGGCAGACCTTCGGCACAATCTCGTAGGCATTGGATTGTTGCAAATAAAATGGGGGCACTGCTGGACAACTGTCATTGAAGTTCACAACATTAGGTGCTGTTTGACTGTATGTTCAGGAATATCCTTTAGTTGAATTTACCAAAGGAACTCAGACCAGTAGTTCACTTATAGATCTAAATACGAAATGTAGGTTCTAGAGTGAGCTCAAGAAGACTTAATTAGACCCCATTAGTACCCTTAATTCAAATAATGCTGCAACTCACACTAAACAAACTACCGAAGTCATATTCATCATCCTCTATAGTCGGTCTCCAACAATGTTCTCCACCGGTTTCGGCCGCTGATAGACCGTTGTTTTTCAAATCACAAAAGGCTAGGCTTCTGGTCTACCTTTGAGGGCATTATAATACCCTATAAAGCCTGGTACGCAGCTGAAAAGAAAATGGAAAAGTAATTTTTGAGGATTTTTCCCAAAAGAAAATTTGACAGCTATAGTCTGCTAAATTTTGAGATTGTAGGGAGATGTGGTCAAATTGTAAAATCAACACTTATTAGTGTTTATGTTGTTTAAATGCATCCAAAACATCAGTTTTGCAATAAACGCCAACATTACCTAACGGAATAATTGATCAGACCATTATTCCGCAAGGAAAGTGAAATTGCATTTAGAATGCGCCACCTTCATGTCGATCACGATACTAATGTAATCGATCTTTCCTTTACCGATTTCTTTTGAACTGCGTACTGGGTCAAGAAATGCTGAGGAAAAGTCATTTCTTTTGCATTCCGTGTCCTATCCCGTAGCACATAAAAACGTCATTACTTTTCAGCTGCGTACCAGGCTTAACACAGGACTTTTATTATCCTATGAACACAAAACACCAACATTTCCCACTCCTGCCACTTCCCGCGTCATCCTCAATCCGATTTATGCTTACGATTTCAAACCAAAACATTCAAGGTGTCAAAAATACCGGGTTGCCGGGATGGGTATTTTACAAACAATCGCAGCTTGCTCCATGAGCGGCAACATCGGCACACCTGCGGCACACATGCGGTACACTGACAAAAAAGATGACGAAAGATTGGTGTGTGGAGTGACCTACCCCTTGGCGCACCCATTATATTTAAGTTCTACAAATGATTACTTTTTGCACATTTTGCTGTAAAAACCGTTCTTGAAAAATGTGTAAAAAGTACACTTCTATTGACGTTTGCTGGGTTTACACATAAATGTGTAAATACAGTTTACACATTTTATGAGTATGCCCCTTTTTTCACGAAATGTGTGAAATTTTACACATTAAAGCCTGGTACGCAGCTGAAAAGTAATGACGTTTTTACGTGCTACGGGATAGGACACGGAATGCAAAAGAAATTACTTTTCCTCAGCATTTCTTGACCCAGTACGCAGTTCAAAAGAAATCGGTAAAGGAAAGATCGATTACATTAGTATCGTGATCGACATGAAGGTGGCGCATTCTGAATGCAATTTCACTTTCCTTGCGGAATAATGGTCTGATCAATTATTCCGTTAGGTAATGTTGGCGTTTATTGCAAAACTGATGTTTTGGATGCATTTAAACAACATAAACACTAATAAGTGTTGATTTTACAATTTGACCACATCTCCCTATAATCTCAAAATTTAGCAGACTATAGCCAAAGATAAATACTAAGATGAAACTGTCGGAAGAAAAACTTTCTATTTTAGTGTCCTCTTTCACGGTCCCTTTCATTCAATGAATACCCCCCGTATTCAAGGTAATTTTGTGGTTTTGCTGACCCCTCGGTAGAGATGAAATTTTGCGCTCATTTTTATCAAAACAATCACACCAAAATCAGAGATGTCCCATTTTTTAATTACTCGATTAACAGCTAATCGATTATTTTGTGTTCGCTGTGCTGTCATTTTTCCTACAATGAGAGTACAGCACATTTTTGAAACGATCGATGATGATCCTCTGGAGAAGTTAATGCTTATATCGGCATGATATAACCGATTACAAATATTTTACTTTTCGGTTCGTTAATCGATTAATCGATTATTCAAATGAAAATCGGCCATCACTAGATGAATGTGAAACGTCATTTCAAATATAAGGACCGTACATAAATAATGATACAATTTGAAAGGGACCGGGGCTAATCACAAATTACGTCCCCCGGTAACTGAAATAAACAAGAGTGTTCACCGGTTGCTATAGCTGTCAAATTTTCTTTTGGGAAAAATCCTCAAAAATTACTTTTCCGTTTTCTTTTCAGCTGCGTACCAGGCTTTAATCCAGTTTTTATGTGCTACCGGATAGGACACGGAATGCAAAAGAAATTACTTTTCCTCAGCATTTCTTGACCCAGTACGCAGTTCAAAAGAAATCGGTAAAGGAAAGATCGATTACATTAGTATCGTGATCGACATGAAGGTGGCGCATTCTGAATGCAATTTCACTTTCCTTGCGGAATAATGGTCTGATCAATTATTTCGTTAGGTAATGTTGGCGTTTATTGCAAAACTGATGTTTTGGATGCATTTAAACAACATAAACACTAATAAGTGTTGATTTTACAATTTGACCACATCTCCCTATAATCTCAAAATTTAGCAGACTATAGCTGTCAAATTTTCTTTTGGGGAAAATCCTCAAAAATTACTTTTCCGTTTTCTTTTCAGCTGCGTACCAGGCTTAATGTGTTTACGCTGGTTACCGTGCACGGAGAAACAAAACAACTCAAAATCGAGATATAAAGTACTTAAAAATAAGTTCTCCTCTATGACTACTGTTTTGGATACAATTATGTGCTTATTGATGAGTAAATTCAACTTAATCTTGAATTATAAACAAAATACTAAAATTTACATTAATTGTACTAACACATTAGTCTTGTGAGGGTTCTTAGTTTTGAGGGCTTTCTATCTCTATTTTGAGTTGTTTCGGTTTCCATGCTTTGAAAGTATGCACAATCAAGTGTTGGGATTGCACTTCGTTTTGGATGAAAAAATTTCATCGCTTCATAAGTTCGTCATTATTTTGTTTGAATGAGTTGTCGTCATTAGTTTTAAACAATTCTAGGCTGCCGAATTGTTCGATGAGGTAAGTTCACGTCATCCAGGTGAACTTTTAGATATTAATTCATGTTTAAAATTATTATAGACATGGTCCAAATTGTGGTTCCGGTGCCTGCTGTCGCTGTCGAATACGAGTCGGAGTGTCAATGTTGGACTTATTAGGAGCGCCAGTTAGTTCTAATGTTGACTGGAACAAGGTGCCATTTGAAAAACTTACCCGTGTCAACTGAGACAGCACCGTGTTAATCTGGGATCCAATCCGTAAATCGAATTCTGCACCTACATAGAACATATCCCGGTAGCTGAACTCATGGGTAACGACTCATAATCTGATGACGTTATCCAGCCGGTATGTATTAAAACAATATTAAAATAAACACATTCTTAATGAATTTGCTTCTGCAAACTTTTTCAGAGTCCTGGGCTTCAAAAAGATCAACAAGACCATGGAAACGATTCATCGCTATTGGGAATTCACCTTCGGGTTGAACTGGAACCGGAAGCAGCAAAATCAGCTGGCTAATTGGACAGCAAGCATATTCCACGCAAGGAATGGTTCTCGGTATGGATTCAATAGATAAAGGACGGTTTATTGTGTTACATTAGATTACATGTATGAGAATGAGATTCAGATTTTATAAGTTGCAATAAAACTATTGATTGATTGGTTAATGCAATCTGAAGATAAATAAGGAAAGAATGTTGTTTTGTCAATATTCACTAACATTAAAAACTCGGTTTTAGGTACTTTTCACCCAACATTCACTCTTTACGAAATAGTTACATTTGACTTAAAATGAAGTCTTATAGTACGTTCAGACTACAGAGTTCCCGCATAAACGCGAACCATCACATGACCTTACCGATAATGGTTGTAAATTGTTTATAATCCCTGCTAAACTTCAACTGAAATGGTTATGGAACTTTACATGAACGTTTGTGTGATAAAGTTTTAACCTTATGTATTATGGTTTTTTGGAAGCGGACCTTACAAATAATGGGTTGTTAAGAACCATTACCATTCCAAATTCTTGTTTTCTCCATACATTTTCGGAAAGAGAACTATATTAGAACGTTTTTACTTATGGTTTGAGAACATTAATGGTTATGGTTATGGTAGTCTGTAAGGTCCATTAATGGTTTTGTATTATCGCTCAACTTTACGTGAAATATATCGTGAATTGGTAATCAGTAATTTACAGGCAACCAATCCGCGATATATTCCACATAAAGTTGATCGATGTTACAAAACCATTCATGGACCTTACTGGTTACCATAACCATTACCATTAATGTTCTCAAACCACAAGTTAAAAGGTTTTAGTATAGTTTTCTTTCCGAAAATGTGTGGAGAAAACAAGAATTTTGAATGGTAATGGTTCTTAACAACCCATTATTTGTAAGGTCCACTTCCAAAAAACTATAATACTTAAGGTTAAAACTTTATCATTAAACCACAGACAAACAGACATAACACATTGAATATTTCTCACTGTAAAACATCGTCGCTTAAACATTACCGCCATCTGTTGAGTACACTGTGGTGGGTAGCACGCTGAACAGATGGTGGTAGTGTGAAAACGTCAAACTCAAGGGAAATGACTATGCGCGCCACAGGTGGCGGTGCTACCAACTACGATACTTTTAAATTGACCGTTAAATGCTTGTTCGATGAACAACTTGCGAGTGTTATGTCTGTTTGTCTGTGATTAAACGTTCATGTAAAGTTCGATAACCATTTCAGTTGAAGTTTAGCAGGGATTATAAACAATTTATAACCATTATCGGCAAGGTCAATTTATGGTTCGCGCTTATGCGGGTTATAACATGTTATAGCGCTATCTTGATGGTGGTTTCTGTGTTGCAATTATTTGACAACCGTTATAACATGTTATAACTCTCCAGTCTGAACAAAGCATTAGCAAAAAACTCAAAATTGGATACTTCGCAAAGAACTCAATTTTGAGTGGTTGCACTTAGCTGTCAATATGAGTACAAAGGCTTATAGTACGTTCAGACTACAGAGTTAAAACATGTTATAGCGCTATCTTGATGGTGATTTCTGTGTTGCAATTATTTGACAACCGTTATAACATGTTATAACTCTCCAGTCTGGACAGCGTTTTAATTTTGAATAAATTGTTTCGTCTTTCCGTGTGATGAACACACACAAATAGTGTGTCGGAATTAATGGATCCACCCTATAGGGCGGAAAATCTGACGATTGTAAAACGCAAAATAGCCCACCACCAGGGCAGTTATTCGTTCCGTTTTGACAGCTGATTTGATGCCCGAAAAAAGAAGATCGAAAGAAAAAGAAAAAGCAAACGAATCAAACGACGGACGGACGAGCGGACGACGACGACGAAACGGTGCGTGGTGCTCTGCAAGTGATGATGAGCGAAAGTGACTAGACAAAAATTTCTTCAAACCTTTCACATAAACCTCTGGTGATTCACGAGAAAAACAGAATTTTCTGCTCGTGTTCGTGCAAAAAACAAAGTACTAAATCTTCTGTAGGATTGTTGTGCTTCCGAGTAAAAACGAGGGCAAAAAAATAACTTTCGTGGCTGGGTTGCAGACGGGCGTAGAGAGCAGCAGTGAAGAAGAAAAAGTCGATTCTGGTTACGACGGAAAAGAAAAATCGGTAGGTGACGTTTTCCATTCGAGAGCAAGCGTTCCGTTTTCGTCTTGATCTCCGTCGTCGCATCAGCAAACAACCAGCAACAGCAGCTGGGAGCAACGCTAGCGGAGGAGGTGCTGCGGCCAGAAGAAAAAAAAAATCGAAAGAAAAGCCAAGTACGACTGGCGAGTGAACTTTGTGCGTGTTTGCAAGTAGCGAAAACAAAAGCCTTTGTGTCTGTGAAACCGAGTTCCATTGGTGGCAGGCAAAACGGCTTCAAAAGTGGAAGTCCATCAAGCAAAGAGGAAGCAGTCCGAAATGGAGCTCACACCGGAAGAAATTCGAGCGAGGCGTTTGCGGAAGCTGGAAACGGGGACACCAGGAGGAAACAGATCTCTGGTTGTAGCCACTACTACCGCCACCGATGGCCAACAGGATAGCCCAGTTGGGGTTGAGACTGTTGCTGTCGCATCTTCCGTCGAAGGAGGTAAGACGAACGGATTATTGGATAGGGTGATACGGAGTTTTGTGGTTTGAAAAACCACCCGAGAGGTGCTGTAGGGGTGTAAATATAGAGCAGGTAAAAACTTCCACCCAGTCAGTCAGTGCATCGAGATACGAGGTCGAGATGCATCACAAAGCAAAAAGCATAATGCATACAGTTTACGTGTGTGTATGCGCTCTCGTTGCCAAATTGGTTTTCAATTTTGCTTCGTGAAGCCGTCTGCGAGTTTGCTCGAGATTGGGTGGTGACCTACATTTCGATTAAACACAGTTTGTCAACCTCATTCTACCGATACCTACTTCGCAGTTGCAGAAAATGCTTTAAATGCGTTTCAGCTTGCTGTCGCTTTCAATGATGCTGTTAAGTTTAATGCTTGGGTTGTTGATTATAAGTATGTTCAGTGTTCATCTTCGGGCAGGTCATGTGCTTTTTCCTGCATTTGAATATTCTGTCAACAAGTTTTTGTTGGTGTTTTTTTTCTTGTTTGATATTTTTACCTAGACAAAATTAAATTATACCTATTTAGGAAAATCTGCATTAATCAAAATTTGTTTAATGAAGATTTCCTAAGTATGTATAATTAAACGGCGTTCAAAAAATGCAGAGGCCATCTCTAGAAGAACTATCGTTACAATTAGCGTAAGATGTGTGTTTAAATGCAAACGAGAAATTACTTATTAAGATCATTGCCGTTTTACGACGGAAAACTAATCGCAGTCAAAATCAAAATGAGTTCCTATTGGTATTTTTGCCTTTTTGTATTTGTATTTTTGATCCATTAAGTATGCCACACTCTAATGGGGTTTTGATGGCATAATTTGTAATTCATATTTACGCAGGACTTGGGTTATGTGAAGAGTGAGACAACTAATAGCGAGTTTCAACATAGATCGTGTATCAATATTGAATCTGCGAGGCTTATTACGGATGTCACTTCACGGTGAAGTGATTCCCATTTGCTTTGTACGGTAATCACGGCTTTTATTCTGATTATCACTTGCTTATCACCGTGTAGTGACACCCGTAATAAGGCCCTGCTTGTTTTCTGGCAAACCTTAGTTTTGTTGGTTGCTTATATTTATTAAGGAGATTTTCAGCCAGACGCTGGTTAATTTGAGTCACGTTCGTTATCGGAATTAACCAGACAAATCATTCCACGAACTAAGAACGGCCATGCACCACTACCTTGAGAAAGAGCTATTAATCTGTCTTACCTCAATAAGTTCGGACCTGATAAGTTTTCCCGTGTTGAGTCAAATTAAGCCGCAAGTCAAATTAATTTACAAATGTAATAATGTACTGTATCCGGAAAAAAGGAAACCGGTAGTAAAATTCATCAGATGTACATTAAATTGACAGCTACTCTCCGTCTTGCAACAATTTGCTGATTGAAAGCAGTCGCATATGTCGAACCGTATCGTCACCTATCCAACAGACTACGTTGAATCCGGTGACGAAAAATTTCCACTGTGCAGTTGAAGTCGAAAAAAGCATTCGCGAAAGAGTCAGTTATTAGCCGTCGGTACAGATGCATCCAAGTTTACAAAAACACGACGGAGGATCACATATCCTTTGCCTGCCGGGTTAATAAATCTTGCGTAAATTTCGAGTTAGGAAAGCTCACCGAAGAAGAGTTCAAATGCCTCATTTATGTGTGTGGGCTCAAGTCTGAATGTGATGCCGAACTGCGAACGCGACTTCTTTCCAAAATCGAAGATCAAAACAATGTTACCCTACAGCAGCTGTCGGAAGAAAGCCAGCGATTGTTTAATCTCCGGCACGATAACGCAATGATCGAGTCTGCTTCTAATTTCAGTCAAGTTAGGCCGTTTTATAAGGATTGTTTCAATTTGAAACTAGAACAGAAACGCACCTCTCGCAATGCTGAGTTGTAGTTTCATTATTCGAGCACTATTATGCATCAGATTTGCAACTGCTCGACTATTCTGTTTTATTTCTGAGCGAGTTTGAAACACGAATGGAACTCTGTTTCAAATTTCTTTGGATGTGTTTAAAGATGTTTCGAAGAGCTTCACAAACAAAAAACGAAGAATTTCATAGAGGACAGTAAAGTTTATGGAACTTGATGATTACAAACATCTTTTGCAGTTTTATTTTTGACAGTTTCAAATTATAGAATTGACGAGTAGTTTAAAACAATTTTGAAACTCAGCATTTCGAACGGCCTTAATGTGGTGTAGCAGAAATTCGACGACCGGCGTTTTAAGAAACGTGATTATCTGTCATCCACAACTGATACTAGTGACAACAAATACAAACCGAAAACGTTGTGTTGGTTTTGTGGCTCTTTTCATTACACTCGTGACTGCACCTTTAAAAACCATAAGTGCTCAGATTGTGGCCAAATCGGGCACCGAGAAGGATATTATTCCAGTGCTAGGAAGTCGCTTCGGGAAATATTTTGCCTCTTGTGGGAGAATTTTGTTGTGGCGTTAGCATTGAGAAGAAAACCCACAAAACAAAAACCCACTGAAAAACATTTGCAACTCCTCTGATCTGATTTAGTGGACAGTTTTGTTCTGTGGTCCGTGCCGATGGACACATTCTGTTGTCAGGTATCCAGTGCGCCTGAGTCTGCTATTGGCCTGAAGAAAACATTCCCGAAGGTGTTCAGTGAAGACAGTTTGTGCCATAAGACTAAAGTGAAGTTGGAGCTGAAAGAACAGTGTAAGCCAGTTTTCTGTCCGAAACGTCCAGTGGCGTATGCAATGCAAGATGCCGTGAATCAAGAGCTCGACCGGAATGGGCTGCTCCGATAGTCGTAGTACGCAAGGCGAACGGTTCGATTAGGATCTGCGACGACTATTCGACGGGACTGAACTCTGCCTTGCAGCCTCATAAATACTGGCTTCCACTTCCGGAGGAAATTTTTGCCAAGCTAGCAAATTGTACAGTGTTCAGCCAGAAAGATCTCTCTAATGCGTTCCTGCAAGTGGAAGTTGATGAAGCAAGTTGTGGTATGCTAACGGTAAATACCCATCGTGGACTGTACCACTACAATCGCCTTCCACCAGGTGTGAAGATTGCTCCCGAAGCATTTCAACAGCTCATCGATACGATGCTCGCCGGTCTCAAGGGAACATCCGGCTATATGGACGACGTCGTAGTCGGTGGCAAAAACGAGCAAGAGCATGACCGCAACTTGAAAGCGGTTCTACAGTGCATCGAGGATTTCAAATTCACGATCCGAGCTGAAAAATGTTCGTTCCGCAAACGTCAGATTCGGTATCTGGGCCATGTCATCGATCATCAAGGGTTGCACCCAGATTCAACGAAAATCGAGGCGATCACTAAGCTTTCGCCTCCCACTGACGTCTCTGGAGTGCGGTCCTTCCTCGGTGCAATAAATTATTATGGGAAGTTTGTGCCGAATATGCGGATGTTGCGCTATCCGCTTGACAGCCTGTTCAAGTCAGAAGCAAAGTTCGAGTGGAACAAAGAGTTTCAAGCGAATTCTCTCTTTGGATCTGCTACTAACTCACTACAATCCGATTCAGGGGATCATCGTCTCGGCTGATGCTTCATCCATTGGTCTTGGCGCAACGATCAGTCATCGATTTCCAGATGGATCTGTGAAAGTGGTCTAACACGCTTCAAGAGCACTCACCAAGACGGAACATAATTACAGTCAACCGGATCGCGAAGGTCTGGCCATAATATTTGCCGCAACCAAATTTCATAAAATGCTGTTTGATCGGCGTTTCCGTCTACAAACGGACCATGCTCCACTGCTTCGAATCTTCGGATCTAAGAAAGGCATTCCCGTTTATACTGCCAACAGGCTGCAACGATTTGCCTTGACTCTACTGCTGTATGACTTCGAGATTGAGTACGTATCGACCAAAAATTTCGGTAATGCCGATGTCCTGTCCCGTCTCATCGACCAACACGCGAAGCCCGAGGAAGATTACGTCATCGCCAGTATCCGTCTCGAGGAAGATATCAGGTCGGTAGCCTCATGTTCAGTTAACGCTCTTCCACTCCTTCGCAAGGTGTTCCGGTATGTCAAAGATGGTTGGCCACAAAAGCAACTCATCGAGCCGAAACTCAAGCGATTCCAAGCCAGGCAGGAGTCGCTCAGTCTAGTGGATGGCTGTATCCTGTTCGGCCTACGTCAAGGCTTGTCAACATTGTGTGTCAGTCGCACGATCTCCTCCTCACTCGGATCCTGTCCCATGGCCCAAAGCATCTGGTCCGTGGCAACGTGTTCATGTCGATTTCGCCGGTCCAGTCGAAGGCGAATACTATCTCATCGCCGTCGACAGCTTCTCCAAGTGGCCTGAAGTGGTACAAACTCGGCGTATCACGTACGTTTTGTGGACACGTTCAAACGCACCGTCAAGAAGATTCGAGAGGGGAGCGGAGTTATCGACGAAGCTTTGGACATATTTCTGCTTACATATCGGAGCACACCAAATCGCTCCTTACCGGACTGCAAATCGCCATCTGAGGTCAGTTTGGTCGCCAAATCCGGACATGCCTCGAGTTGCTTTGTCCACCAACAGTTCGTAAGCCAGAACAGTAAAACAGACAAACAGCCAAGGACCTACAGCAAGAACGATCCAGTTTAAGCCAAGGTCTACACACGAAACAGTTGGAAATGGGCACCAGCCATCGTGTTACAACGCCTGGGAGACGTCATGTACAATGTGTGGATCGAAGACCGTCGAATGCTGCGCTCACACATTAATCAGTTACGAAGCCGAACCGTGACAAATTCAGCACCAAGCCAGTCAACTCACCCAGTCAGCAGTTGTGAACAGACATTATCCTTAGATGTCCTACTTGAAGCCTGGCCCGAATACGCAAGCTCCACTTCCAGCTCCAGTAACACCATCGTCTGAGCAAGCTTCTTCATAAGCCAGAACATTGCAAGCTTCTACGCCACAACGAGCATCATCTACTCCGCGGCATGACCAGCCGCGAGATCCTGTGATGAGTCCGTTGTCGTCTGTTCAGTCCCCACCAACGTCAACGTCAACAAGTTTCAACCAAATTTGAATCAGCAGTTGAGGCAGACCCAGTGGTAACAGTTCCTCGGCGTTCTTCTAGGAATCGAAGGCCGCCGATGTGGTTTTAGCCGTCACCTTTATTAAGAGGGAAGATGTTGGAGACGACTGTATTCGGTCGGAGTGTTAACACCTGCTAGTGCGCCCCCTGCGACGCTGAGCTCTCGAGTGACAGTTCATATATCACTGCGACGATGCTGGAAGGCGCATACATGCAATGTCGCGTGTATTTTAGCTAAGTAATAAATTCTGTTTGATCAGTTAATGTGCACGTCAGTTATTCCGTACATAGGAAGACCTTTCATTCACATACCGAGTTTCCCGTGAATACAAAAATGTTGGTCAGGAGAAATGTAGTTTCTACAGCTGACAAATAAAGCGTCGTTGATGATTTTCTCGAATACTTTCGAGCAGGCACAAAGTGAAGTAATTCCTCGGTAAAGCTCACATTTCGCATGTCTCCTTTCTTGAAAATCGGGAACATGAACGAAGATTTCCAAAGAGAAGGAAATACACCTAGTTGTAATGAAATATTGAACAGCTTTGAAAGCGGAGAAGAAAGCTCTGTTGAGCATCTTTTGAGTATGGACGCTGGAATGCCGTCAGGTCCAACAGCGTTCGAAAATTTCAGCTTCTGGATGGCAGAGTCGACGAGGTCCAATGTAACCATGAAAATATCAAAGCTGAAGGCGTCACTGGAAGTACGTCTGATCTCTTCAGCAACTTGGCTTAACGATGCCGTTGAGTCATTGAAAACAATCTTGAAGTGCTCTGCCAGGAAGTTACATCTTTCTGAAGAAGTGTTGGCTTTTTTATCGCTTGGATGATTCTCAACCCTTAGCCCATCCAATTCCTTTTTGCCTTCACAAATATCCAGAATAGCTTAGGATTACGCTGGAGATGGGTCTGAATACGTCTTGAATACTTCGTGATAAAAAAACGGTTGTACATTCGATAGCCATTAGCAAAGCTCTCAATTAATAACTGTGGAATAGTATCTAGAACACTAAGTTGAGAGCACGCAATAAGCTACTATGCGATAAACAATAATAGTACGTTCAGACAGAGTACAGAGTCATAACGGTTGTCAAATAATTGTAACACAGAAACCACCACCACGACAGCGCTTTAAAATGTTATAACTCTATAGCCTGAACAAGGCATAACCTTCAAATGCGAAGAAGAAGAGAGAGAGAGATGACCGGTTGCGAGGGGATAAAAGAGCTTAAAATACGTAGACCAATTTTTAAAGGTTTTAAGGCAATTGTCCATACAATTTTTTGGAAGTTTGTATGGACCGTAGACATTTGTCAGCAACCCCCCCCCCCCCCCCCACTCCCTTAAAGAGTCTACGTAGATTATGAACAGCCCCTTACCTGTATGTTTTGCTTCAGATCGTCTGGGGATGTGACGGTTGTCGCCGTACATGGCCGTTTAGATCAACTCAAAATTGAGTAGGATTTCTTTCAAAATGATAGAAAGTGAGTAAAATTTTCCTCAAAAATCTGCAATCTTCATCAAAGCATATTGGAAGGTTGAATAGAGTTCAGAATACGTCTTCCAGGTGGCAAAAATAAATTATTAGCTTAGCTTGACATCTTGACAAGATAGAAGGTTTCTGTATTTGGAAAAGTTTTTCAAGTGAAATAGACTGATTGGATGGTGTACATCACACTAGTATACTTTTTAACTTCTTATTGTTAGTATACCATTTCACTTCTTATTGCTTTAACATGCGACTTCGAGTAGATAGAAGGTAGCGGTCAACACGACCTATTGTATAGTGGACGTGGACTTATAATTACTTACTTTAACTTGAAAGCTCAACTAGATAGATGGTTGCTGTTTTAGTCATAGTTGATCAGATTTGTAAGACCTATTGTATGGTAGCCAGTTTAGTTGAAAATTTCTTCACGAGTGTACGAACTGACTTGCTACCTTTGGCTGAGTTGTTTAGATGCACAAAACCTATTGGAACTTTGCTTTTGTCTTCAACTTTCATTTCATCTGCTGTTTTGGGACTGCCGTAGTAACTTACCCTTCAATCTTTTCTCATTGCTCATTACTTTTAATAACTCATACCACTCACTCATTCGATTTCTAATCAAAATATGACGCGTAATGGATACAAAACTACATTTTCTTCTCTTCACCGTAGAATCAACAACCACGTCCACCGTTGCTGAGACGAAACCGGTGCCACAATCGCCAACGAAACCCAGCGTTGGCACGGAAGCCAGCAGTGCAGAATCTCCTACCAAAATGGATGAAGATCCACCGGTGGCAAACAACAGCATTCTGCCACTGGTGAACCAGGAAACTCCAACCAAGATTGAAGACAAAACTCGCGACGAAGCTGCCACGCGTGAGGAACTTCAGCAGATTGTGTTTCGCATTATGAACATCAACAGCCAGATCCGCTATTCCGAGGCACGCTTCACTATCGATCCGGCCGTGCTGGCGAATGCCCTGGAAGCCTTGGATGCCAAAAACTATCGCGAGTTTTGCGCTGAGATATTCATCGAGGTCATCAAGGAGTTCTACGAAGGCAAATTGATACAGTCTGGTGATGGCAGCACGAGTGGGACCCTTTCGGATAACTGGAACAGCATCCCGTCCAAGAAGGTCAAACCGATCGATATCGAGGAGGTGTTGGAGAAGAGTGGCGGTAGTGCAGCGATGGAAATTGATAGCGATATTAGGCTTTGCTCATCAAAGCCAAGCATGAAGGCTTTCAGTTCAAACCGTGTGGCAGCGTTGGATTATCTCATCAACTGCTACTGCCGAGCAAACGACGAAGTGTACAGCTATACCAAAATCAAGAAGAGCAAGAAGATGTACTTGATGGAGATCCTGCCCGACGTAGCTGCCATCATCCGGCAGCAGACGCTCAAGTATGCCATTCTGTTGACGAAGAACCGGTTCCAGAACTTTGCCCAAATCGATAATCCGGCCAAGTTGATTCTGGAGAAATCACCGCTGCTGCAGTTAATGTATGAAAATAAGGTAATTTGTGTTTTCAGTTCTCTGTTTATAATAGTAAAAAGTTAACAAAAATCAAATTGTTTCAGGTTCCGTCGGACTTTTTATCTAGCTTAATGGCCGAAGCTCGTAAGAACGAGTCGGATTTCGATGCCATCTTCACCATCGTTCTAGATGATCTGTACGTCGACATGCAGAATACCATATGCAACGAAAACATCGTTTCGGACCCGCTGAACCGACTGAAAGAGCTAGTCGAGATCAAGGTGGAAAATACGAATCCAATCTGCAAACTGATTGTGAAACACGTTGTGTTCCTGCCAAGACTGACACTGGACAAGTACGCGGCCAGGGAAATCTCCAAGGTATCCTTCCTGGCACCATTCCTTTCCCTGTCGGTCCTGTTGGACGAAAATCCTAAATTCGCAACGCATCACTTTTTGGAAAATGTTTGCGATAGAACACTGGCCTCGTCCTTCCAGACTCTGTTGGGAAATACCAGAAAAGTTTTGCATCAAATTTTCCTATCTCTGCTAACGAATTTGGACAGCCGACAGGAAGTGCTTAAGTACATCTCGGAAATTTTGAAAACCAACCACAAACGAATTCAGTACAACGCTGACGATCGGTTCCTGGCAAAGGATGGATTCATGTTGAATTTCATGTCCATTCTTCAGTTGCTGTCGGTTAAGATCAATTTATCCCGGATAGATCCACTGTATCCGCATCATCCGGAAGCCTTGATAGATATTGACGACGAAACGAAGCTCAAAAATTCTTCTCAAGAGTACACCGAATGGCTGGAGAAGCTTCGTCCCGCGAAGAAATGGGAAACACCCAAGTTTGTTACGCATTGCTGGTTCCTAACACTTCACGCTCATCACCTGGGCATCATACCAGCGATTCAGCGGTACAACAAGCTGCTTAGAGCTACCAAGGAACTCCAGCGAATGGTTGATGAACTGAATGCCAGCAAAAGCCAATGGGAAAACACTCCGCTGGCTCGTAGGAACAAACAAGTTCGGGATCGTTGTGTAAATCAGATCAACAAGCTGTCAAAGGCCAAACTCGGCTGTGACATCGCGGTCATCGATCCCAATGTACTGGGCGCCTGCATGCAGTTCTACTCGTCCGTATGCGAATACATGCTGTATCAGATCGAAAACCGACCCATCGAAGATCTGTTCGTCAACAAACAGGAGCCGTCGACGTTGGTCCCGAGCGAAAACTTCTGCTCTCTGCCCGAGTGGTACATCGAGGATATCGCGGATTTTATTCTGTTCTGCATGCAGCACAGTATTGGGGTCATTGATTTTGTAGATAATTCAATCATCACGTGGATCCTTACGCTGGTGTGTGCGCCGCATCTGATCAAGAATCCCTACATCACTGCCAAACTGATCGAGGTAAGTGTGTTATGTTCAAAATTCTTGTTTCTTTATGGATGTTTTAATTTTAATAAACTAGCGGCGCCGGTGGTGTAGTGGTAAGCGTGATTGCCTCTCATCCCAGCAGGCCTGGGTTCAATCCCAGTCGGCGCCGCCGGGATGTTCTGCAGCATAACATCTCTGATCACGCCTTCCTTCGGGGAAAGGGGAGTAAATCCGTTGGTCCCCCGGTTCATGAGTTGATGGGTCGATAGGTAGGGTCCAGGTGTGGGAGCTGCCTCCCTGGCGTCGGTAGCATTGGTGCTCAGCACTGGAAACAAGATCGACGGAAAACAAATCGGGGAATTTTTTTTTTTAATAAACTCCCTGAGATACACCTTGAAATACACAAAATTTCTCAGCGGAAATTTGTTTACCAGTTTTCCAGGAAATAATCGCTCATATTCTTGTTTTCCTCTGGTCAAGAAGAACCGCAAGCTTCTCTATCTAAATTCTAAATTTAAATCTTATTTTCTTGTACAACTTAGAACTACCACATCATATGCCCGTACTTCTGTAAGATACTTCTTTTCATGGAATTTCTGCAATTCTCTTGTAAACATAGATTTCCGTCATTCCCCTCAAGTTTTGCATGGAACACGCCAAAATATCAAAACTTCCTCGTGTTAGATTAGCAAACGTTTTGTGAAAGTTCTTCGAGTTTTTCTGAGGACACATACCTCTATCCTTATCATGGAAAATTCTCGAATCTGATTCGCTTAAGCTGTTCCACAACCTAATAACCTAATCCTCATTCCAAATTCCAGGTGCTCTTCGTAACCTCGCCAACCATCCAGACGGCATCGCAGCGCCTTTATCTGCAGATCATCAACCACGATCTGGCCCAGAGGGCCCTGGTCATCGCCCTCATGAAGTTCTACACCGACATCGAAACTACTGGTCAGAGTACCGAATTCTACGACAAATTCACCATTCGGTATCACATAAGTCACCTGTTCAAAGGTCTCTGGGACAGTGTGGGCCACCGGCAGGCAATCATCAAGGAGTCAAAGATGGGTAAACAGTTTGTAAAGTTCGTAAACTTCTTCCTAAACGATACCACCTATCTGCTGGACGAATGCCTGGAGTACTTGAAGCGAATTCACGAAACGCAGGTACTGATGATGGATGATATGGCGTGGAATGAGCTCGGCCAGGAAGCGCAGCAAAGCCGTCAGAGACAGCTGGTTCAGGACGAGCGACAGTGTAGATCTTATCTGACCCTAGCCAGAGAAACGGTAGACATGTTCCACTATCTAACGATCGACATCAAGGAACCTTTCCTGCGACCAGAACTGATCGACCGGCTGAGCTCGATGTTGAACTACAACTTGCAGCAACTGTGCGGTCCAAAGTGCAATGATTTGCGAGTACGTAATCCCATGAAATACGGTTGGGAACCGCGAAGATTGCTCGGTCAGCTGATCGACATCTATCTTCACTTAAGCTGTGATGAATTCGCCGCCGCCCTGGCAGCGGATGAACGATCGTTCGAAAAACACCTCTTTGAAGATGCTGCCAATCGCGTGGAACGAATCGGTATTCGAACTCCGATGGAAGTGGAAGAATTCCGAAAGCTCATTCACCAGGCATCCGAAATCTACATCCAGAATCAGCAGAATGCGGACGAGTTTGCTGATGCTCCGGATGATTTCAAGGATCCACTGATGGACACACTGATGAGCGACCCAGTGATACTGCCGTCCGGAACCGTAATGGACAGATCGATCATCACCAGGCATCTACTCAACAGCAGTACCGATCCGTTCAATCGGCAAACGCTCACGGAGGACATGCTTATACCAGCAACGGAGCTGAAGGAACGGATCGAGAAGTGGATTAAAGATTATCGCGAGAAGAAAAAACAATAAGACTTGAAGTTTTTAATAAATTACAAACTATAATTGTTTTTAATTTAAACTTGTCGAACGAATTGTGACAGAAGGCAAACACTCAAAAACTGAATTTAATATTATAATGCTATACATATTAGACATATTTATATTAAAAAATAGTGCTAAGATAGGTTTGCCACAAAGTCTCCACCTTCTTCCCGCATCTAATAGCATACCAGTTTTCTTTTTTTTTTGCAATCTATGATGCCAACAAAAAGTAGACCTCTTTATTCAACCCTATTATAATAGACGCTGCTAGTATAGCCACCCCACCCAAAATAATGTCTGTCCTATTCCCTTCGAAAGGTGTTTCTCAGTTTAAATTCGTGTACATCTGCTCTACTGGTAATAATTACTGCTTTGTTCTTACAAGCAACAAAATAGGAAGAAAACAAAAACAAACAAAAATGATAGCCTGGCTGAGGGATGCAACCATGCCTATGGATCCCGCATTCGAATCTGTATCGTACGTAAGCTAGTATGTACTTTAAGAATAAAACTTGAAAAATTCTACATCTGTGTTTACTGGAGGAAGAGGTAATAAGGGCCTATAGAATCCGAAAATCCGTCATCAAGGGGCAATCCATTGAGTGCATCACGCTCTAAAGCAAGCACCACACGGGCCAAAATCAGTGCTAACATTTCAAAGGGGCGTAATTACATTTGTAAACAATGGATTTAGCCGTCGATTTCTCGCAAATAAAAGCTCACTCATGAAAATTAATTACACCAACAGGTAGAGGAATGTTTCCTCTACCAGCTAGCTAGCACTGTTAATTTGGAGGAGTGAGCTTATATTTGCGAGAAATCGACGGCTAAAGCCATTGTTTACAAAAGCAATTATGCTCCTTTGAAATGTTGGCACTGAAATAGTGTGAATACTCAAAAGTGTTTTTCCCCTTCTGTTTTCTACAGCAGCAGATGGAGCCTGTTCCTTAGCACCTTTTGTCGAGGTGGTTGTGATTTGACTCCGAATATTCCATCGAATAAAACAATGAAGAGCGACCCTGTATTGATGACCTCCCGAAAATATTGACGAAACTTCTGTCTTGTGGGGTGCACTTGTTGTGGGTTGCAGAGCTGCCAGGTGGTTTTATAAAAAATCTGTATCCACTCTATTAAAAAATCTGTATTTTCTGTATTGACGATTTTTTTCTTAATTAATCATGTTTTGTTGTTTTACAAATACGGTGCATACAAAATAACCATAAAAAGTGCTTAACCACCTATTCGGGCTATCGTACTAACCATACGGGATATAATTGCGCCATTTGTGATATCGTCCGTACTTATTTATAAGAGTGATATGAAGCCGTTTGAAAATGTATGGAGATTTTAGTTTCTATTCATTATCTTCCTGGTAAGCAGTTTTAAATGCAAAAAAGTGCACGAGTTCATTACTATTTGATATTTTTAATATAGATGAATACAATTAATTACATCATTTGTGTGGTAGTTACACCGAAAAGTCGAGAGATGTCGCCCCGCCAGTGCTGGTAAAATCATTTTTGCAGTATGGAGAATATCAGAAAATCCGCAATTTCTTACGAAATACATTTTCAATGCAAGTAAAATGTTTACGAGTACTTGTATTTGTACCATTTTAATGTGCTCGGGCACTTTTCTTGTATTTAACATACATGCTTATATTGGAAATATTCAATTAATACTGTAAATCCCCATACAATCTCAAATCGTTTACTACCAGCTCCATATGCATCCGAAAGCGGTTGGTCCTCTGGTTGTGAATGCTGTCAAAAACACCATAACATGATTAATTGTCGATGGAAATTTGATAGGTTCCCGAGCAGAGGGGGAGAACAAAATGAAAACAAGAATTATGTTGTTTTCATTATTCCTGATAACTCAAATTGATTTCATTTTGATGGAGTTGATGGCTAACAGAATAAAAATGAGAGCTAAAAGATATGCGAAGAATATCAAAATTATACCATATATTGATATTAGTGAGAACTGCTTGATAACTTATTTTGATATAGATTTTTTTTTCTCAAGCATTTTATAAAAATCTGTATAAATCTGTATTGTAATTTAAAAATCTGTGATAAATCTGTATTCTGTATCGGGTCTGTATTAAGATTAAAAAATCTGTATAATACAGATAAATCTGTATAAATGGCAGCGCTGGTGGGTTGTGGTTTTGAGGACCCTACACGATTGCTTTTATTGACAATAATCGTATTGTCAATACTAGAAATACTCAAGCGCCCATTACATATGTCAATATATTGACAAACATCGTATTGTCAATTTTCCTTACAATATAATCAATATATAAATATTGACAACATTAATGACAATACACTAAAGCGTTTGTTACACAGGTCAATATATTGACAATAAATTGACATACTGACAATATTATTGAAAGATAAAATTGATGACGATGGTTTGATGACGAGTATTGTTGAAAACTGATTTTCATTTCACTTTCTCAATATTCTTCCCCTACCCAAGAGGAGGGAGAACGTACGTCATTTAGACTGACTCACAATGCACCTTCACGCATGCAGTGTTGGCATTTTGTTTAAATCTTCGTGTGTGATATAAAATGGATATCAAACTAATTAAAAAAGTATCTTTTTACAGTCGCCAATCACTACCAGGCTTCGTCTATATCGATGTTCATTTTCTACAAAATCACAATCATGTAATTTTGTTTTTTTTTTACTTTAAAATAAAATAAATACTATCTGCGTTTCACATGCCTATACGTAACGCAAATTCAATAATATATGCAAGTTCTTCCTTTAGGAATGTTTACCAAAACATCAGCATAATAGTTTATTTATGGGAAACTGCATACCATGAACGTGCGTTATTCAACACGAGTGGTAATTCCACGCAGTCGACAATCGATTTCCTTCAATTCCATTAATTTGTTATCATGTTGTCCTGTGTATTTTCTGTGTCTTGTCAAAAAGTTACAACATTTCAAGAGCAAATTTTCATTATGTCGTAAGTAACATCCGCACCAATCCGAGAAAAATAAAGTTTTGTTTTGATGACCGACAAGTTATTCCTATTTTCAATTGAACACATATTATCTCATAGTGATAGCAATGTTTAACATATTTAGCAGGGTTTTAATCATACAAATGCAAATCGCTAGCTTTCATGCTAAAAAATACTGGTTTTTGAGTCAAAAGTTATTATACGTCGTTTGGTGGCCCCTATTGTTACTTAAGTCAAAGTGTATTTACCAGGATATTCGGGAGAATTATCAATTATGTCTCCTTACGTGCAGCCCATTCATCATTTTAGGACCCCCGAAATCATCTTAGCAACAAACAGATCGATTTATTCACTTTAATAATGAGAAAGCAAAACGACGAACGTACACTTTTCACGGTTTTCTCAGCGCTGTTACTTAAGTCAAACGGCATCTCCATAGAAATTGGGTGACTTAAGTAACATCGAAAACTATTTTGATCGGAAGGTGATTACGTCAAAAAGCAATTTGACTGGTAAATAAATTTGAAAATGGGATTTGATCCTATATTCGGACAGTATATAGTGTAATAGCAGGAGAATCGATTGACACTGATAGCTCGACTTTGTTTACCTTTGTTACATTCGACGTAATGAAAATTTGCTCTTGATTTGATATTGGCGTTGACGGAACCGTCGAGAAATCATCTCTTCTAACAAACATTGACAGTTTCTTATTGGAACTTTCAGTGGAGTGAAAGGATAGTACCAACTAGAAATACTCAGAGGGTGTGATAGGCGGAGAAAACAAAATACAATACGGCAGCAAGGATTTGTTCCTAAATTATCTTGCAACCCTAGCTAGAAGCTAGCATTTCAAATTACTTTTATTTTTGATTCGATTTACATGCAAAATAATAATTGATTGCATCGCAATATTTTGCACATTTCCTGGTGCCATTCATTAACCAACGAAGATCATTTTGTATTGTTTTTGGTTCCAAAACCTAGTTGAATTTGAGAAGCACACAAAACATTAAGGGGATTGAATTTCTGTTCGATTGCAATACTTTCAAATTTATTCTAGAAAGAAAAAGAAATCCTCTGAAAAATTCTAATAGGAATGTTCGATTGGCTCAGATTTTGACAGTTCATTTGGTTCAAAACATTCTCTCCGCCCATCTCTTCCTCTCAGTATTTCTAGTACCAACCAATTCAACAATTTTGAAATTTATTACGAAATTGTACGGACCTATTTAAAACCGTTCAATGATAATGTGTCGATTTTATTGATTTCTTACGAGTGATGGTAATTTGAAATTTTACCGACTCAGGTTATCCGAATTCAGTGTGTAGTTAGTATTTTCCACACTCAAAAAATAAATCACATTTCCAATGGAAAATATCCATTAGAATTTCACTTAACTTTCATGTGATCTCATAATTGGGAATCGCATCACAAAATCACATGAACCTTATGTGTCCAATGAAGTTTATGTGATTTGTCATATACAATTCATGTGATCGTATGAACGTTATTTGAATTTCAGATAAAAATCATTAATTTTGTTATTGGAAAAATATCATGTGCGTTTCCAATGGAAACTATATGAAAACTTTTTTCAGTGCATAGGTCCAGTAACGACGTTTCTCTTTTGACCCGCTAATCCATGTTTCTTGTGTGGGGAAATTAAGACAAGTAATATTGACTTTATTACATTGAGGTTAAAAGGCTTCAAACGTATTGCCATTGATGTTGTGAATATTCGTATATTGATGATATTGATAGAATTGACTGTTTTTTTTTGTCAATATATTCTGAGTATTGACAAAGTGAAATGAAAATCAGCTTTTCGTCAATACTTGTCATCAATCATCTTCATCAATATCACCTTTTCAATAATATTGTCAGTATGTCAATTTATTGTCAATATATTGACATGTGTAATGGGCGCTTCAGAGGGAGAGATAGGCGGAGAAAACAAAATACAATTCGGCAGCAGGGATTTGTTCCTAAATTATGTTGCAACCCTTGCTAGAAGCTTGCATTTTAAATGACTTGTATTTTTGATTCGATTTAGGTGCAAAATAATAATTGATTGCATCGCAATATTCTGCCCATTTCTTGGTGCCATTCGTTAACCGGCGAAGATCAATTAATCAATAGAGTTAGAATATTGTTTTTGATTCCAAAAACTAGTTGAATTTGAGAAGCACACAAAACATAAAGATGATTGATTTTCTGTTCGATTGCAATACTCTCAAATTTATTCTAGTAAGTGGAATGTTCGATTGGCTCAGATTATGACAGTTCATTTGGCTCAAAAAATTCTCTCCGCCCATCTCTCCATCTGAGTATTTCTAGTCAATACATACTATTTTGACGTCAATACATCGATATTGACAATATTTCTGTATTGTGAATAGCGCCCATTACACATGTCAATATATTGACAATAAATTGACATACTGACAATATTATTGAAAAGGTGATATTGATGATGATTATTGATGACAAGTATTGACGAAAAGCTGATTTTCATTTCACTTTGTCAATACAC